GCAGGTGCTCAAATGATATGGAGCCGTGCCCCGCTTAAATGGTCCCTAGGCCACTAGAAGCAAAGGAACGGTGCTTACGCCGCTTCAGTCCGGTATCGGAAACTTAAATGGAGTATATATCTTAGCGGTGGTATCAATAACTAGCGGTATGCCAGTAAGCCCATAAGATCGGGTTTTATTTATCTGTAAGTACAATACTGGCTATAGGATTTTTTAGTAGTAAACCAGTAATGAAGGAAATCTCGTTTCTTATCCTGTGCGCTTTCTTCTGCACTAGGTTATCGATTTTCCATTGCGCTCTGCAGAAGCTGGGCGGTTTTGTATTTTAAGGCAAGCTTTCAGTTCATGTTTGCTTCCCTTGTAGTTAATTGATGACGCGCGAGAAGAGACATCCTATCCGCATAGAGTTAATATCGTTTCTCAGATTGGCGTTATATAAGGGCTGCGTAGTTAATGGCACTTTGGCTTGACAGTTCGGCTAATTTCGTTTACTAACAGTGTCGATGCGCTTGACTCCTTTAGACGTAGCCTATATGCGTGGCTTTTCTACGATGCCTGAACTCGTCAAAAAACATAAAAACGGTTTATTTATTCACAACGCAAACGAATAAGTTGGTCAATCCGATGGTTAACCAGTACCGACATTTCGGTTGGTTGAGTGGTCTGCAGGTGTTGTGGCGTCTGACACCTGGAACCGAAGGTGTGCATTTGGCCATGCTGCTGGTTAAGTGAATTTTGGGTCAGGGACTTGATAAGGGTTGTCAGATTCCCGCAGTGTTCGTATCCTTTGTCCTGGTTGATTTTGCAGGATTAGATAATTAGGATTTTTTGATTATTCGTCTGATGAGTCAGTTTTTTTCTTTAACGATGCCCGCGTAATCTAACCATCTGGATACATGACTTTTTTCTCTTTGCGTGTTGGACGATCCCCGAGGCATTTTCACATTGTTCTTTGAGTTTGTTAGGTGGAGAGTTTTTTCCATGATCCTTTGTTGCCGCAACCTATTCGTTTGCATTGTGTATAAATAAACCGTGTTTATGCGTTTCTCAGTTTTCAGTATGAACACCAGCGCACGGACAAATTACTCAATCGATGCTTGAACTCGTTTGATATTGAGCTTGACTTGATGTAAGCAAGGCTTCGTTTTCCATCTGGTTGCTTTAGTTGGGCAGAAACCTAAGTGCATTCGTCAGCCATCATCTCTCTTCTACAATTTCATAATTGGTTTTCGTTACGTGAGTTAACGATGTTCACTTCTTTATCATGCAAAAGTTTTGTTCATATTGCAGCTTATAAAACCAGCCTAGAATGTTGTTACTTGTATTATTTTGGTGTTGTAATAAATCATACAGTTAGCAAAACCTGTATACATTAAATTAATCTTCATCTTCTTCCGTGGCCGCTTCTCCTTTCGGGTTGCGTCATACAGTGTTTCCAACGTTTCAGATCCAGTGCCAGAGTCTGAGCTTTGGCAGAAGACATCTGGAATCTGGAACAGACACCTTCCATACATTTGCTCCCTGTTAATTTTGGCCGTCTCCTGGGCCTTCGGCCGGTCGATTTGGCAAGAAACAGTTGCTTAGTTTTCCTTTCTGGAGGCATTCGCAACACATGCCCAAACCGTTGCAGCTGTGATTTGTCAATCTGGAGAAGCAGAGGCTGTACAACAGGGCTCTCCCGGATGTCTGTATTCCGGACCATGTCGAGACGCGTAAGGTCAACGACTCGTCTCAGAATAAATTAATCTTATATTTAGTAATTAATGTCATTTTCTTCTCGCTCCATATTATTAGGCTGATGAGATGTTGAAATTATGATAACGCGTTTCATTACAGCATAACCCGACACACCATTTGGTAACAATCAACAGATATTTTCATTACAATGAAAACTAGTTCGTTAAATAGACGATGTTGGTCAGTTTGGTGTGTTAGGATGCCTGTTGTTCTCTGCAGCACTACAGAAAAAATGGTATGGACACTCAGTTCTCAAGTACCTTACGTAAAACTTTCAACATTTTTAGCGTTACGTCATGTAAACTAAGTCAAACTTTAAATTGTCATCTATCTATTATATTTCTATTAAATGCTCCCAAATGTTTTCCTGATTTATAGCAAATATTGAAGCCAAGCTTGGTTGTACATTTAGAAATAGTGT